TTGATTTTCTTTATAGAGCCGTGACAGGGTCACAAAAAAATACGTCTTGCAGCCACTGTCATGGACTTTTTTATCTCATCAGTAGAGAAAAGAACAAATAAACTAGATATTCCTGTTTAAAGTCCTTTAGGCTAATAAATACAGAAATCATTTGGGCTAATGATAATTAGTAATTTGGGCCAATGATTGAAAGGTCAGTTGGATCATCTGTGAATGAAAGAGAAGTTAATCTGGCATGCACCAAACTATGTCTTTTACTGAAGAGGTATAGAAAAAAGTCATCAGATGTCCAGGGAGGCACATCACAGTATTAATCTAAAGTTCCAGATTACACCTGAATTTGGGGGTTATTTGAATCAGTTAGTCCTGCTCAAACTGGTGAAAGGCTATTAAGCCAGAGCTTTTGACCTGGCCAAATATAGGTGTCCCATATTTACAGTCAGAATTCGGAGCTTGTTGAAAATAAGGGGAGACATGGATTCATGCAAGTAGGGCTAAAGAAGGTAGTTTATACTAAAAAAAATATGTTTGTCCATTTTTGCAAGGTACATGCCCTAAATAATTTCCTTTATTTTTCTCAGACACAGGTCATGTACAGTTGCTAATCTAGATATGAGAGGTTTACTTACTCATAGATTTTTCAAACCAGAAGTATTTATAGAACCCAGGGAAGCTGAAATATTTTCAAGACAAATTATTCTTGGTTGAGATGTAAAACAAACAAACAAACAAACAAACAAAAAACAATGTAGCGGACCAGGTTTGGGGAATTCACTAAAATGTTATAAGAAGAGATGAGAAGATGAGAAAACAGTAATAGGTGAATATTGTTGCGGAGTTATAACCATAAAAATTGTGTTAAGTATAAGAAATAAAATATTGAGAGGTGACATTGTGGGAACAACAAGAGGGATGTTCATGTTTTGCAAGCAGTCTGTCACTGAAAAATAAAATACGAGAGTATACTCCATCTGAAGCATCCATGGTACACCAAATGGAAAGTTACAAACAAAACTAAACGAAACAAACTTCCTGCAATATTTAGGGCTAGAGAAAATTATAGCCCTCCTTACATTTATCTCTGTCATTTTCTCAGAAATGGTAATTACCTTGTTCAGTTTTGAATCTTTTAATGAGCTATGAACTGTTCAATATCCTTTTGTATGCATGTTTTTTATTGTATTTCTTTTTCGATTGGGCTTTGCTGCTAAATTTTGAGAAGGGAAGGAAACTTGACATTAATATATTAAAACTATAAAAAGATATACTTTACTCGTTAAATTCATGAGTAAAATATGCAAACAGAGCATTTTTCAGTTCAACCAAGTGGTATCTACTTTTATAAACTGTGGAGTCAAATTCATTCTTGGTTATGAGTTTGCCGTCATGATTGGTATCTGCACCTAAAACATACATTATGAAAGAAATCATTACTGGAAGTATTTAATTCACATCCTATATTTCCTAGCTAGCAAAGCAATGGGATTCATTGGAGTGAATGAAACTGAAGCCTCAAGCCAGGAAAAAGAAAAAAAACACCCTGCATAGCTGCAAGCTGGTGAATGCTTGTTGCGTAGTTATCAGCCTCCTCCTGTGGCAGCAGCCAAAGAACATTTTTAATTATGGTCTCTGGACTGGGTTTTTAAAGCTTGTGCTGTGTAATACCGCTGACATACGATAGTGCTTCCTTTCACTGTCACACACAGCAAGCAGGATGCAGCCTTTGTAAACTCCTTGTTTCTGGGCTCTTTCTTGTGAGCTGTTGTTGAGCTGCCTTAGGGTTGGTGGTATGGCACTATGGGCACCTCTCTGAGGGCCCACTGTGGGCCTCAGCGAATAACAGAAAAACACAGGTTGAGGTTCATGCCTGGACTTTTTCAACATCTCAGTGGTTTTAAATGTACTGTGAAAAAAGAAAATCGAAAAAAGAGAAAGTTGAATTTTCCAGAAACCATGTCAGTCCTGGGTATCTGACACTTGTCTAAATGGATTGCAAATGGATTGCCCCACTAAATAGTGGAGTGGTGTTACTTTCTGCAAAAACAGTGACCGCTGTTTTCTGACTGCTTCTCTTTCTTCAACTTATTGATAATATCACTAAATTTCATTTTTCCTGTGAAAGTGAACCAACTAATATGATTTTCAATCTGTTGTTTCAATCTTTTGAAGGACATAATTCTATTATTTTTCCTCCTCCTGACATGTTATTTTTGATTTCTCTATTCTGTAACACGAGATCTAGTTCACTGCTGTTATATCAAGGCTGTTTTGCATTCTTGTGAATCACTATAGTTTCTTAGGGCCCCAAACTACAGACGTTACATTTTCTTCTGCTTGTACTTTAAAAGGATCAGGCTGCTCAAAAGTTCCTGTCCAGCATTATAAATATCTGGAAAGCACATCTGGAGTCAAATCAGGTATTCTTTTGACAAGCATCTGGTAAAGTAACAAAGATTTTTAGGGAAGAAAAGCATAAAAGTGACAACTGGGAGAATGAATTAAAAATATTTCATCTGCTGTTCAGGACTCTGGAGCTATTTTGTTTTTAATATTTTCCAATATTTCATATTTTTTTTTCCAATTTTTCATATTTTTTAAAATTCATTGTTATACCAGATTCAACAAAAGGGTAGCTTATGCCTAAAGAACTGAAAAATGTCAATTAGGTGAGAAAACAATGAGTTTTGAAGAAGGAAATTTGTCAATAGTACATGTGCTGTCCATAGTTAATCTGACTGCTCTTTAAAATAGACTCTGCTCCTGGTAGAGTATATACCCAGATAATGAGAATGATTGCATACATTTCACTTCTGCTACGAAGCTGGCAAGGTTTTTGTTTGATTGTTTGTTTTTCCTCTCCTGCATGATGTTCAAGTCTTACTCTTGTTACAAACTTTTGCATTTTAATGTGTGTGTAACCAAAACAAGGTTGTAGACACCTCCTCTTGTAAATGTAAGCTTTTATAATCGGGTTTGGAATAAGCATTTAGGCAAAAATATCAGGTGACTCTTTATGAAGTGCTTAGGAGGTTTTAGTGCATTTGTTAACACATGGTGAAGTAAATGTCTGTGTCTGAAACAAAATAAGAAATCACTTAGAGGGTCAGAAATCTATGTAGACTCCTAAACTTACTTATGTCATAAGTGGAATGATTCAGGTTTATGTCAGCGGGCAGGCTACAGCTGTTGTTCTTGAGCTGGCATTTTCTCAGGCTGCCAGAAAGCATCTGCATCACTGGGCATGTTCTGTATATTAGAGCAAGAAGAGCAAGAGCTGCAGGACCTTTACTCTCTGCAGCCGATCAGAAAGGACAGCAAAATCCAATCAGGAGCAGAATGCTTTCTGCAGCCTCCTCTAGCCTTCACCTCCACTGAAATCTTGTTAAAAAAAGAGCAGGAGTAAGGATAGTCTGGTCTGCAAAGACAGCTCATTGCGAGAAAAAGTGCTAGGGATACCAAAGTAGTGGACTAAGTGGCTCAGCCTGGATCCTGGAACAACAGAGATCTGTATGAGGGTTCTCAGCATCTGGGAACCAGGCACACAGGTATTTCTTTGTGTCTATTATGAGTGCAGGATTATTATTATTATTATTTTTGTATTTCTCTTTTTTTTTTTTTCTTTTCTTTTCTTTCCTTTCCTTTTTTTTTTTTTTATTTTATTTTTTTATTTTATTACGAAAGTCTGCTGCTTTTTGCCTTGAGCTAAGGATGATGGAAATTATTTATAAGCTTTTTATAAACCTGGTACAAAAGGTTTTGAAGTTATTGACAAAGAGCAACAATAATAAGATTATGGACTTGTAATTGAGAGATAAATAGGAATAGCTGCAAGGAGAAATATATTTTAATTTATAATCATTTGTGCTCTTCAGTGACTTTCAAATAATTTGGTGGGAATATTATTTGTTCCTTTTTACAGGAAAATCTTTAGAGAGTCCAAGTCAATAAGACATTTGGCAGGTGTTTCAATAGCAAATGCCATTTTAAAAAGTACTTTAAGGTTGAATTTATGAAGCAACAAGTTAGAGAGCTATCTGATTGCAATTTCTCATCTTGGTAATACATGTCAGAACTGTGTTGTAATGATTTCCCATACTTTTCTTATGTCAATATTTCAGAGAAGGAAGAAATGCAATTATTTATAGAATTTTTCCCATAATTATAAATATCATCCATACTCCAGGTTAAAAGAAATGGAGAGGAAATATATCATGAAATATTTATTAATCTTATATTATACAAATATATATGCCTTTAACAGTGGACTGAGACACACCAGTCATTAGCTAAACAATACTTTAAGTTGTTTTCTTCTGAATTTATGGTAAAAATGGTAAATACTGGGTTTTAAACTCAATTTTTTTTTCCACATTAGTTTGCAGTGCTATCCTAAGATGTTATATTACTACTGACTCTTTTCAGTGGTAGAAATAAAATATGTACCCTTGTTTGCTATGGTGTCTTTTTCATATGTGAGCACTATTAGAAATAAATAGCACAAAAGATTTTATCATAATTTGTATGGTCATTAATTACAGTTAATAACTAGTTTAATTGCATTTTATTCTGGTTAGACTTGTATTGAAATCACTGAACACTGCAGAGATGTTTTAAACAACATTTTTTGGTTTACTAAATGGGTAGAAAATTGGTCCATGGTCACAGGGAACATAATACCTAATAATGTATTATACAGATATATATGCATGTTATATAGTAATAATGTTACCAGTTTGTGCAGGAAAAAAACGACACCTCATCATGTATTTTCTGAACTGTACAGATTTAGCCAATTATCATTAGCTGTTTTTAACCTTTACAATAATCAATACTAAATAATATTATACCAACTACCAGTCTTAACTAGAGAACTTTTGTGCTTCTGTCATCTACCTTGACAGAAACATGAAGGAAAATGAGAGACCAAGACTTTACAAGTGATTATTTTTTCAACACAATATACTTTTAAATCATCTTTTCATTTTTCTTGTCCTTGACAGGTGGCATCGTTGATAAGGACCTTCGTCACTACCTCAATTTACGGTTCCAGAAAGGTTCGGTGGACCATGAGCTCCAGCAGATCATAAGAGACAATCTCTACCTCCGCACAGTGCCATGTGAGTATGGTGGAGATGAACAAGTGTATTTTCTTAGTGGCAACAGACTGTCTGAATTAATGCTGCTGAGGCCATTTGCAAAGTGCTGAGAGGTGGACTGTAGATGAAGCAGTCTCCCTGTAAATAGATTAATGGCTTGGTTCGTGTCTTCTGTGCTATCGCTGTGGAACTGAACAGTCTAATTCTGAATTAATTTCTGAAACTGCATGGTGTTTTCAAAGTTGGAGCTCTCATAAACGGTGACTGTAGAAGAATAATACTTTTCTTCTGCAGTTTTAGAAAGCACAAATTTAAAGAAAAAAATAAAAAAAGAACTTTTCTGGGGTGGTTAAATTGATGTCCAACAGAGAGAGTTTGATCTGCATCGTATTTCACCATAATACTTTACTGAATGGTACTATGGAGTTTAGAAAGCAAAAAGGCAACAGGGAAAAAAAAAAAAGTAGGAAATGTTGTAGTTGAAGTGCAGCAGGCATGGCAATGAAAGTTCAGAATGTGCATATGTGTTAGTTCTGTTGTTGTGTGAGTGAATTGTATCTATAAAATATTCTGAAACTTCTAGCATCATATAGCTATTGAAAGTTTTCACCTATATCTGCAGTAGACATGACATTAAAGCAGAGTAATATAAGCCATGTCAGACCATCAGAGCCATGCCTTTCAGAACAGATCCACTTGGTGGACATTTGATATATCATTTGTGATGGAATTAAGTTCTGGAATTCTTCCCTCATAAAACAGTTGCTTGGTAGACTAAAATAAAATAAAATAAAATAAAATAAAATAAAATAAAATAAAATAAAATAAAATAATAAAATGGTGCTTCTGTTTAAAGCAGACCTATTCTGGCAAAGAAAAGGAGCACCTTTGAATTTGTAGGCAACTTCACAACATACTTCTGAATGCTACATTCTTTCATTACAGCAAAGAATGGAGCTTTAAAGTACCAAAAAAGAAGCTCACTTCTGTTTTCTTTTGAAAGCTGAAGACAGATAAATGCAATGTCTTAATTTGAAGGGTTTCATTCATCCCTGATTAGAAAGGAACATGGGTAAAAAATAAAGAGTGATTACCTGTAGATTACCTGTACACAGAAAATCAAAAACATTATATCTCTGTGACATTTGTGGTGAATTAGGTTTGTCTGAAGGTGTTAAGAAACATCAGACCTGAAATGCAGAGGCAAGTACAAAGACATTTTGAGATTAAATTCCTCTTCTTAAGATGCCTGGGTGTTCATTAGCATAAAAGTATACTTACTGTAGTCCTGCCACACGCTTCTTAATGCTGGAGATCCAGATTTAAACAAAGGAAAAACCAACAATATTGCAAGTTTTGCACATGAGTAACAGATACTGTGTATGGGCAGTAGGGCATGATACCCTGTTTGTTTGTTTGTTTATCTTAATCAAGGCAATAATAAAATGTTCTCATTGGTCAAGTGAAATATAGTACCAGCAGGAACAAATTTATCATTCAAACAGGAGCACTGCAACCACAAAGACCACAATTTGAAACTTATGAATGCTCCAGACTACCACTCCTTTCTGCTGTGGTTTATTCATTTTCTGTGTCATCATATATATGGTTAGATTCTTGAATCATTATCATATTATATTTTGAGCAGTTTTAAGAAAGAACCAGATTTTCAAAAATTGTAGAGTGACGTGGATGACAGCTTCAGAATCTTGAGGTAAGCAGGTATGTTCTTGGATGGAGTGGAAGAATCTTTTCGATAGGGGTGAAAGAATAAATAGTGCTCAGGAAAAAATGACATACTGTCTTTGAAATTTTCTTGAAAATCCTATAGAAATGGCTGCATTCTGAGAAAAAGAAATTAACAAAAGAAGACAGGGTGATTTATGGCTTGCTAAAGCAGCTTCCATAATCAAGTGAGTGAAAAGGACACCCTCACACAGATACACAGATTGTAACTCATATTTCCCTTCAATCATTATTGAGAAGAATCTTTTTTTAATGCAATTTTATTCTGTCTCCAACATTCCTGTTTCAGAGGGAAAATAATCAAAACTTTTCATTTTTTTTTCCATATAAATTAGCTAATTTCTGAATTGTGAACTTACTTTTCAAGGATGCTAGTATTCAAAATTTTGTCCTTTGGGCAGTCTTTGTTTTTTGGCAGTCCTTTGTTTTGGAAGCTCTCTACATTGGGTGAGAGTAATGGTTCTGAACACTGTACTTAACAACTGGTAGGGAGATTTCTCTAGTATGCAGCAGTAGTATTTACGTGACTATAACATTGCCCACAAGTTCACTGAATAATGAGACTAACCACATGCTCATTACAAATCTTGCATCAAATGTTGACACAGCAAAAGCAGCCTTCAGTTGTTCAATTTCTTGTGCAGAAAAATATATAGAGGGCCAACTGCAGATAATGCAGCCTTTTATTTCCAATGACAGGTTGTAACATAAACAGAACAAATCTGAAAAATAGGTGACAACCTTTTCCCTTTAAAAACACACCTACAATCTTTCCTCAGTTATTGAGGTATAATTGCCAGTGAAACCAGAAGAATGTTTGTAAGAGAGTCCTTGACCTTAAGTTTTTACTGTTCTTTGCTTTTTGTTAAGATTGACAGCACTGGCCCTAGCAATACAGTGGGCATGACCACTGATTGCTCAGCCATAGGCTTTCCAGGTCAGACTAAGACATCTTTCACTTACATAAAATGAATGTTTTCTGTGAAACTAGGAAGCAGAGAATCAAATCCATAGCTGTTTTAAATCAAGATAAGCCAAATATACTTAGATCAGGTAAAATGGTATTTACTAGATAAGAATTTGAATTTTAAATTATATTTTACCCTGTGTGCATCAAAGGGTAGATGGGCAAGGAATGCAAGATATGAGAATAATGTATCAGTTCTGCCCTCTGGAACTGGCCCCTATGGATGGGATGAACTGCTTGGTTTTGTGTTCCTTGCCTTTCTCTATTTTTAGTATTGTGGTGCTGCTTTCTACAAAATTAGAAATGACCATGTAACCCTAAGAGTCAAATAGTGCCTTCCATAAGTGGCTGCAGTTCACAGTGCCATATGAAATTGATTTTCACCGCATTGTCAACAAGAATTACACACATATATTCCAGGGCAGAACGTGTGATTGCATTTGCAGCAGTTGAGATGCAGCTGTTAACTAGCTCTGTCCCCAGAGCTGTGTGACAGCAGTAATGAAACTGATACATAAACAAGAAAATGAAGAAAAAGTTCTGTTAATTTGAAGCTGAGTTAGAAAAGCAATAAAGAGGCAAGGTCAAGAAACTGAAACTTTTTTTTAAAGACACAGTATGACAAATAATATACAAGGAAATATGAATGCTTTAGAGAACAGACAGTGATCTTCTATCAAGGTAGAGCACTTGTTTTAATTCATGCAGGGGTGGACTTCTGGTTGAGAAAACAAAAATAATACAGATAAGAAGTATGATGAAGATCTCAGAGGAAAGCAAAGGAAAATAAAAGGCAGTTCTAGGAGAAAGAAAAGTTCACAGCTCTCTATATCCAAAAAAACTGACTGAAGTTTGTCTCATGCATTTTCTTCTCCTCTTTCAGTTGTATGGGTTTTAAGCATAGGTTTCATACCCTAAATTTATTCATAAGTTTTTTAGGAGCACTGACTACTGAACTGTACTACAATACAGAAAAATATTAATGGTAAGATATGGTAGTTGTTAAATACAAGCAAGAATATTTGAATTTCTGACAAAATTTCACCAAGAGAAAGGCCACAAAACACATCTAAGACTGTGAGTGTTACAGGCAGACAAGAATTTTGTCATGCTGAACCTTGTGCTTGGTAGTACTGTAATTAAACTGCAATTGTTATGTCGACAAGCACCTTTCTAGTCTTACTGAAAGAAAAGGATTCAAACTTCATGTCATAACAAGAATGAAACTTTTAGGATAATATATGACAGGAAGAAAGGTTTGGTAGTGACCGTCATGGTCATTCCTGTCTCCTTTGATACGTCCTTCCAAGAAATTGCAAATTTCACTTTCTTAAGTGCTTGCAAAATAGCAGAGCTGTGGTTGAAAGTAGTCAGTATGCTTCCCTCCCAGACAGGAAATATGAAATGATAGTGGAAGAAATACTATTAAACAGCACTGTAAAAAGTCAAACAATGACAAACTGATTTGTATAAGTGAAAAATCATCTATTAATTTGAAGAGATTACCACTGATATATCCTCTGGGATATAACATCAGAACAGTAGTAATTGGAGTTGCTCAAAGGAAATACTCTATCCCACTGCACTGATTCACACCAGTGGAGGTTGCAGCCCAGGAGCTGGGCCATGTTTCAAAAGTGATAATAAAAAAAAAAAAAAAAAAAAAAAAAAGGAGGGGAGGGAGAGGAATGTGGATGAAGACGTTTCCTTTCTAGTACTTACATTTAGAAAAACAGTGATGAAAATTTGAAAGAAATTGGTGTGCAGTGCTGGCTTATTGCACTGGATAACAGTATTACTATTAGCACAGAAGTCTTGTAGGAAGGATGGATTATATATTATTTTAAAAATTTGTCAGCTATGTAGGAAAAAAGGTTCAGTTTGTGACTCAGCCACATTCTGTCTGTGAGTGACCACGGGCAAGAAATACAGTCATTATGTGCTGCAGTTGAACTATGATATATGAAATATGATAATAATTCTTCCCTTTGCTTAGTCTGCCTATTGGCATTATGATTGCTCTCTGTTAGGTGAATATGGGCAACTCACTGAACTGCAAATTTGGAACCTATGAACACTTAATAATATCCATCCTTTCTCCGGTGATTTCTTATTTTTATCTATCTTCTTTATATAACTAGATTCTTAGGTCATTATTATATTACATTGTGAATGACTTTAAATAAGAGCCACATTTTCAAGCATAATTTTATTCTATTCTATTCTAATGTAATCTAGTCTATGTATAAATACATTTAACCTACATGCTGAAGTATTGTCTATGTACTATTTAAATGTTATACATTAC